CTTACAAAAAAAGCTAGCTATATTTATCACTTTAAATATGTTAAATCATGAATTAATCGAGAGCCTCCACCACATTTTCCCTCTCTTAGATGCGAATGCACACACACTTCTGTAAGTTTGCAATGCTAAAGTAAGGAAGCAGCAGAAACCGGGAGAGAGGGAGCGGTGGAAGAGAAAGAAAAGAGAGAAGGCTGTGTCTGACATTACAGCGGCGCTCCAAAAATAGCTCCCTGGCGCCCTGGCCTCCAGCTCGGTTGTCATAGCGACAGAACCACAGGCGCTATAAATAGACTATCAGCTCCAAATCTTGTGTGACTGGAGAGAGGCCAGAGAGAGGGAGAGACAGACAGAAAGAGAAAGAGTGAAGAGAAAAAGAAAGACAGAGGGAGTGGAGCGCGAGAGAGAGAGAGAGGGAGGGTTGGAGGGAGGAGGGAATGGTGGAGAAGGGCCAGTCAGAAAAAGAGAGGGGAAAGCAAAAAGAGAAAACGAGAGAAAAAGCAGGCCTGGTTTCGCAAAAGAGGGATGGGGGAAGAAGAGAGAAAGAGAGAGAGAGAGAGAGAGAGAAAGAGACGCTCAGAAAGAAACATGGCGGATGTTTTAGGCATTTTCTCTCTCCATGCGCTGGCCTTATGTTTAGGAACTGCGGGACAAGCAAGAATGCTACGTTTATTTGCTTTACAAAAAACATTTTTTTGTAAAAAACGTTTGTAGAAAATAATTTTTGTGTTTCTTTGAAACAGACAACATTATTGAAACAATTTACCCTCTGAAACTCATTGAAGGAGGAATGCAACATTTATTTGTTTCGGAAAAATAGAAATGCAAGTAAAGCAAGTAATAGAAACACTACACACACACACACAAAATGGATAATTAAAATGTTTTATATATCTGTCCCATCAACTAACTATAGCCTTGAAATGTTGCCCATTAAGAATTAGTATAAAAAGGTTTTGGATGGATCTAATTGCTTTATTATTACCTACAATATTGCACCTTCCTAAACGCCACACAAAGCAACTGTATTCATACTTTGACGTCTAACAATATAGTAAGTGGATAATAAAAATATAATCACCAAAATTCATCATAAGTCAAAACCTACTACTTTATTGTCAAAATATTGAAATGACTGAAGATGGTATCAATAAATATTGCAGCAAAGAGAGCTGCTTAATTATGATTAATACTGTACATAAACTATTGCTTCTTACTAAATTGCAGTATTTATACTTTCCCTACTTAAAAGGCACAGAAATCTTATAGAAAGTGGTAAATCTTTTGCACTCCCTAGGGTTTTTCATACTGCACTTAACCCCGGGTTATTTTTGTTCTAAACATCGCTTTTAAGCCTGGGTAAAAGAACGTTTCTTTCGCACATGTAATTTAGAAGCAGAGTTAGCGCTGCTTTTTCCTCGGGGTTATGAAACCCTGCTCTGAAGCAGGGTTAGCACCTCTTTTGCGGTGTTAACCCCCGCATTGCGGTGCCAACCTTGTACAGTGTGAAACGGAGTAGTGTTAGCATGTTACTGCTGGATGCTTAGCAACAGACAACCAATCAGAAATTGAACAGCATGGCTCATTTCATGTCAATAAGAGGAAGTGCGCGTTGTGTAAACAGTATAGCATTTGAGGGAAAAATAAGAAGTGACCCTTCACAGGGAGCTTGGCAATCTGACCAATCATAACGCTGAATCGGTGGACTTAAACTTGAAAAATTGTGTGTACTGACATCTTTCCGTGGTTGAAATAAAATACCTTCTGTGATTCTTTCATATTTATTTGGCACTTTAAGTAAATATGAAAAGATGATCGGTTCGCTGCTTGAACTGAGGCGCTACAGTGATCTGTCACAACACATTAATGAGTCACAAAACTGTATTTATTGTTTGAATATCTTTAAAAAAAAAAAGAAACAAACTGAAAGCTGACACTTTGATTCATACCAGAAGTAACCTGCTCTGTCTTGTCTGTCATCGTGTTGTCAGTTTCCTCTTTGCTCCGCAATGTATTTTTCACTGCGTGAGAATGTGTGGCATGACAGCGGCATGGCTTGTCGGACGTAGCAACAGTAACTAAGGGGGAAGGGTCAATTGGAGTGAGAAGGAGACTGTTATACTTACAGTTAGTTGTTTGTTGTTAGGTGCCACAATGTAATTGCGATTCTGCATCAAAAGCATCTCATTGATTTTCGTAATGTGGTCTTTCAAAGCGTTTACTTCAACGGCTCTAGCCCAAGCTGTGATATAAATTAAACACTATTGGCTATTTAAAAAAGGGCTGCTTGATATGTCCTGCCCTGTCTTCTTGTTTCAGTTGAAATGAATAACACATTGAATAACACTGCGTTTCAAAGCACTTCAGTGGACCTTTAAAATAAGATGTCTGTTGGACCATTTAAGAAATTTTATTCGCACTCATGCTCCTAAATACATTTTACATTTGGCACAATCTATTTTTAGTCGAAACGCTTGCACTGTCGAGCCCTGTTGATTGTGTCATTTGAAAGTACTGTATCCGGGCACTGTCAGTAAATGTGCGTTAGCAATGAAACCTGCCAAGGAGGACCCACGTGGCAACATTTTTTAACTGACAGGATAACTGATGCGAGAAAAGCCATGTAAACGGGTTGCCTGCTGCGTTCGTCCAATTAGTGACACTGACACCGCAAATATGAAAATAAGGACTTCAACCCAGGGTTTAGGAATGTGCAGTGTGAAACGGCAACTTATGAATACCCAGTATTAACTTTTAACTCTGGGTGAAGTATAAGCATTGTGAAACGTGAAGCAAGATAACCCAGAACTCTGTTTACCCAGGGTTTCGAAAGAAAAAATAAATGTTTGGAACTATAAATGATTTAACTGAAAATAAAGAATAAGTAAATTTTAAAAAATAAATAAATGGAACACAATACTTCTCTGATTTATAAAAACACGGTAAGCTTGTAGAAAATATTCTCCATTTTTATTTTATTTTATACAAATTATTTTTCTTTAACAGCATAACCCTAATGATTTTTTGAGATACAACGCCACAAAATAACGCTTCTCTGGTTTACAAATGTACAAAGCCCTGTGGTTTCTTTTTTTCTTTTTCTGAAAACCCTAAACCTTTCTTTCATGGTGCTAACGAAATGCAAACAAGCAAGAACGTTCCTCTGGTTTACAAAAATATAGAAAGCTCCAAGAAATTACTGTCCACATTAAACACATGCTTTCTCTATTCAAACATCTCTTGCACACCTGAATGGTTGCAGGCAGGTGCGCTGGATACAGGAAATAATGCAAAAGAAAAAAAAATCCTGCATACTGCTGTAGCCTGCAAGAAATCCAATATTTCCTGAGGTGGCAACATTTCGGTCGTGAGACCTTTGTCAGGAATTTAAAAAAATTATTTGCATTTACAAAATAGAAAGATTTCTATGTTTTATGGAAATATAGGAAGCATGTAAAAACACACTGCATTTACGCAAATTAAATGCAAAAGAGGAGGAATACAAACGTTTCGGTCATTTTTGTCAGCAATAAAAAAATAAAAATAAAAAAAAAACACTTGATTTGCATTTACAAAATGTTAACAGACAGGAATGGAACATTTCTCAATTTCATGGAAATATAATTGGATAATTTATGGAAATATAGAAAACATGTAAAAAACATTAAAGAAACATTTCTTCTTTTCTAAATACACTTATTGAATTTATGCAAACAAAATGCAAAAAAGGAGAAATACAACATTTCTTTAGTATATGAGAACACCGTAACAGAAAATTGCTTTTTACGCACGTTTGCCCTGAAAACACTTTAACCCCAAGTAAACGTTTCTTATTCTCTAGCTTACAAAAATAAAGGAAGCTTGTACAAACATAGTTAACTTGCTTCAGTAATACACACATGCTTCCTCTTAAAACAGCATAACCCTAATGAAACTATTCTCATTGTTTTTTTTTTTTTATGTCTCAGCCATTTTCTGTCACTCCAGTGACGCTACTTGCAGATGTAGGAAGAACTAGTCAGGAGAGGGAAAAAAAACAAACTGCGATACTTCAGTATTCTTCTCACGCTTTGCGTAGCCATTCTTGTGTTTGTCTCAATGATAACGTTATTGAGCCCACGTTACTGCTGTGGCTCGACCATACAAAGAAACGGAGGTGAATGAAAACACGAACGCATGCACACGTTCAATATGGACACCTGGCCATGTGACAGGAAGAGCCTTGAAAACGCTCAGACAGAAATGAGCTCATAAGAGGACGAGCGCTTGACGACGCTGGTTTCTTGCTGAACGCGTGTACGTGCGTGAGCGTGCTCGAAACAGCACTGTCATTCTCCTCCGTCCCTCTTTGCAGTCTGGGAGGTTGGGAGTTGCCCTCCAAACAGTTGCAAGTAGCCACCATTATCACTTCAAGCTCATTTTTCTCCTTCAAAAGAGGAGATGCATTATTCGCGATACTTGCGGATTGCCTCTCAAACCGTCTCCTTCTGCTGCAAGTGAGTGAACCAGCAAGTTAAAAATAGCTCTCTCTTTCTCCGCTCTACGTTTACATAAGCGTGCAGCGGGGAGCGATGGAGGGGCCACTTCCGGTCTAAACGGCTCAGGCCAGCGTCTGATCCACAACAACCACCAGTGGCTGTGGGAGAGGCCAGGACACAGACACGCACGCATATGCGCCACAATGCAGGAAACCTTTCAAAGTATACCCAAAATTCATACCTCTGTGTCTTCTGAAAGCTCTGTCTAGCACTCATCAGTGTCTCTTTTTCACATTCTGTCACTTCTGCACTCATCACATTTCTATTTCCCTCCCTCTTGAATGCATAAATCAGTCCGATACATGCAACGTGCTACGAAAGTCACACAAACAAGTCAACCGAGTCAAGTGCAACCAACCTGACCAAGAATTCCAAGAATATTCCAAAGCATTTATGTTCAAATACTAATTCTACACAAATAAAAAGCTCTTCAAACCCAGCATTTAAAAGAAACCAAATACTCACTACTGTGCGCAGTCGATCAGTTGATATTCGTTGGATCTTTCGAAGCAAGCTCTCACCCCTTCATCCTGCCACAGGGTCTTTGTGTGTTCATAAAATTCCTGTTGGGAAGACAAGTGGAAGAGAGGACAAACCCATAAACTAGCTGTCGGAATCCAGGCAAATCTTTTACACCTCCGTCGTTTGGCAGCATATCATTTTTAAACATGTTTGTGTTAGTTTTGCACAGACTCTTTAGTGCATGCTAACTAGTGCTGGGCGGTATACCGGTTCATACTGAATACCGGTGTTTATTTTTGTTATGATATAAATTTTTAAAATACCGCAATATGTCGCAACGTTCGGAACGTGACACTGTTTGAAAGGGGTCCCTTTTCACTGCTGCACTGTGGTGAGGGAACAGCTGTATGTTACTAAGCGTGAAAGTTCCGAAACTGAAGCTGTAGAACTAATAGAACGTGATGACACAGAAGAACTCATCCACAATATCCACCGCCCCCTGCCATCAGCTCCCGCGTCTCACACACACGAGCGCGACTTTAGCACTAGATTTAGCAACTTTCAGACCCTTTTAGCAGCTTTTAACCTAGCGACTTTTTTGGATAAACCTTAGCTATGGTTCAGTTGGAAGATTTCGCCAGTGCTGTCCCGCGAACGCGAGGTCTGACTTTCCCGGAGAAGTGTCACCTCTCTCAGCGTCTGTTCTGTGCAGTGAGTGGCAGAGAAGCAGCGCATTCAGTTGGCCGCACTGCAGCCGACTCGTCAATAAATGAGTACAAAACAGCGTTTCCTAGCACCTGTCGCTTACTGATTGTTTGGAATTATAAATATGACCGTAGTTCATCAGTTAATATCACATGCACTTTTTTATTTGTTGTTTTTTTTAGTTTGTTACTCAGACGCAGGCAGTGAGCTGCAAGAGACAAAAAAGTAATACAGCCAAAACAACCGCATAGCCACTCTTTAGTGTAGCTGCATGTTGATTTTATCAGACGATGCCGCGATTATAAATGAGAGTGACTCCTGGTTAACATGTATTAAAAGGGGTCGTGTTTAGTCACTATATAGTGTGGTATTTTTTGACAATATTCACTCATCATGACAGTAAAATAGGGCATTCTAAGTCAATATACTGCAGTATTTCCTCTCTCAATCAGTAGAAAAGATGGTTAACAACCGGTCATGCATGAAAAAAAGAAGAAAAATAAATAAATACCAGTGTGATGAGGGGTGAACGCAGCGAAAACTTTACAGTAGATGGAAACCGATTGCTCCCTCGTGACCTTTTGTAAACTTTATTTATGACAGTGAACTGCACAGATACAGATATTATAACAATCTATACGGTATAATTTTGAAAAATACCGTGATATAAATTTTTGGTCATACATAAAAATAAAAAAAACACCACAACTGATTGGTCCGTTACAGATTCTGGACAACCAATCTGGATTTGGGATTTTTGCATGCAAAGATACCAGATTTAAATTCGGTACCAATACAATGATTTTCATTCCTTAATGGTTCTATTAACTAGGGTTGGGTATCGATTGGGTTTTTTACGATACCGGTGCCTAATCGATACTTTTAAAACGTTACCGGTGCCTGACCGATACTTTTAAAAAAGGTGCCACAAAAAAACGATGGATAACATTAAAGAACATTAAAAATATTTAAAATAAATATACATAGCATTCACATGCTCCTCGGATGCTCTCATTTCCCGAGTTGTGCTTCCCTTACTCGAAGGCTAATAAATGTTTTTCATGATCTGGGTCATTTAATACAAAACAATATTTAATACAAAAACACGCAGTTTATGGAGCTAATCGCTATAGCCCCGCTAAAAATGGCCTAGCAACGCCCATGCTTCTTACGTCCATTTCTGAGAACCAGGACAAATATTTCAATCGATCGCTCAGGCATTTAAGTGGCACCGAAATGAGGCACCGAAATCTGCGTTCTGATTCGGTTCTAGTACATACCGGTTACATAGGTACCGGTGTGGTTTCGGTACCCAACCCTACTATTAACAGCTGTCAAATTGTTTCAAATTTCAGATTTCAACAGGACAATAATTACAAAATCAAAAATAAATAGTATAGAATTACTGGCAACAAAAAATTGTGTTTTTCAAACGAGCAATGTCATGTGACTCGTGTCTGCGAATACATTGCAAGGTGTTTACTAAAAAATTATCGATTTCCAACCCGAAGGAGGAATTCTGTGTCTGATTTATGATTTCATCGACTCTTGATGAACCAGGAAAAAAAGATATAAAGCCAAAATAAATAACTTTTTTACAAGCTATGTTGTAGATATTAACTTTATACGCATCGACTCAGCTCTTCTGCTGTCTCCTTTTGGATGACATATATAAACACCAAACAATGTACGCAGTTCATGTATAACAAAAGCCACATTTATGGAGTTCAAGACAGAACTAAACGATTCTGACCGCCCACTGCAATCCAGACATGGTGGTGAAGCATGAATGAGCGTTCGAAAAGAAAAACTTCCAATCTGAGCCAATACGACATGAAGCGGGACACACCTTGCAAAGCTGTTTATATGTGGTGGCATAAACCTGAAAAGCAAACGGGTCGGTGCACACCGCACGGGACAAAGGAGGACCGGCACCGTGGTCCCGACAAGGAACGGGGCTTCGTCTCACTTGATCTTTGTTGATGTGTTTGGAAATGGTAGCATTCACTCTGGCACAGCTCCTTTAAAAAGGAGTGCCACTACGCTTTTAAATGTGTAGGACAAGAGCCACACACTTGAGAATCACGCCACCCACCAGCTCTCACTGCTCTTACCTTAAATATTGATTTTGTGGGTATCTGAATTTTTGTATCATAACAGTATATTGTGATATAGGACACTGTCTTATTTACAACATATTAACAACTTAAATCTTCTATATAAATCTTAATCTCTAGCTTCCGCTAACTGTCGTACGTGCGTTCACGAGAGA